TAGGGGAAAAAAGACTATGTGGATCTAGGCAGAACTACTTTTTTAAATAATTAATTAATTAATTTGGCTGCGCTGGGTCTTAGTTGCAGCACACGATTCGTTGCTGCTCTAGTTCCCTGACCAGGGATCAGACCCGGGCCCCCTGCGCTCGGAGCGCAGAGTCTTAACCACTATACCATTAGGGAAGTCCCCAGGCAGAACTTCTTAAGTTGCTGCCTTGCCTTTGGGACATGTGGGTTTCTCAAATGCTAGAATGAAAAGGGATTTTATTTGGCTTGCTAATGTTAAAGACAATGCCCTAGTTCCTCCAGACAGTTCAGATCCCTATCATTTTACTTTTATTTGCCTGGGATTAAATGCCTTTCTGTTAACAGGTCTTTTCCCCACATAGACACCTTTAATTAAACCCTATATGCAGCCTCACTTGTTATTCAACTTGGAATTAAGAGCCTCCTGGGGGCTTTCCTGGTGGCGCAGTGGTTGAGAGTCCGCCTGCTGATGCAGGGGTTCGTGCCCTGGTCCGGGAAGATGCCACATGCCGCGGAGCGGCTAGGCCCGTGAGCCATGGCCGCTGAGCCTGTGTGTCCGGAGCCTGTGCTCCACAACGGGAGAGGCCACAACAGTGAGAGGCTCGCGTACCAAAAAAAAAAAAAGAGCCTCCTGGGCTTGCTGTCTCCTTTAAGCCCTTTCAGGGGTATTTCGTACTGTGACTTTGTTTCATCCACTAGTACTCTTCACCTTCTGTTGAATCTCTAGTCTGCTTATGGTCTCTTCTCCTCTTTGTATATGTGTTTCTTTTCTGTTTTAATGGGGGCCTTGAGAAGTAAAGAAAACGTGCTCTATCAGCTTGAACCAGAAGCCCCACTTTTTTTTTTAATATGTAAATTTATTTATTTATTTATTTTTTGGCTGCGTTGGGTCTTCATTGCTGTGCCCAGGCTTTCTCTAGTTGCAGCAAGCAGGGGCTACTCTTCGTTGCGGTGTGCGGGCTTCTCGTTGCGGTGTGCGGGCTTCTCATTGTAGTGGCTTCTCCCGTTGCGGAGCACGGGCTCTCGGTGCATGGGATTCAGTAGTTGTGGCTCGTGGGGTCTAGGGTGCAGGCTCAGTAGTTGTGGCGCATGGGCTTAGTTACTCTGCAGCATGTGGGATCTTCTTGGACCAGGGATTGAACCCGTGTCCCCTGCATTGGCAGGCGGATTCTTAACCACTGCGCCACCAGGGAAGTCCCAGAAGCCCCACTTTTGATTTCGGTATCTGATTTCTGGATTCTGCAAGCTTCTCCCACTCTTCCTTCAGATACGAGGGACGAGTGCCTAGGTTTTACTTTTGCCTCTGGTGGCAATACTGTAAAATAGTTCACAGGGGACAGAAAAGGCAAAGAAAATACTAGATAATAACCAGTCTCTAAGAACTGGAGCGTTTTTGCATCTGCCTTGAAGGTCAGAGATCAACAATCATGATGGCAGATACCTGAAAGAAAGGCTACCGTTCATTGTTAGTGTTTTCTTCCTCAGTTTGCCCTTTAGCATTCATTTCATTCAACAAAAAATTATTGAATGCCCACTGTGTGCTAGGCATTGTGTAGATGCTGACACTGGAATTTCAGTGTTTCCCTACCTGTGTAATTAAAGACAACGGGAAAAAGTCCAGATCAGTATTTCCTAAACCCAGCTAATGATCATAAGTATTACTTACAGAGATTTTTTTTTTTTTAATAGCACCCCAAAGACAGATTTAGTAGATCTGATTTGGAACTACTAATGTGAGTGATATTTTGAGTGTTTCCTTCTAATGAAATGCAATGGCAATTCATATGTACCGTGACCTCTTTTTAAGGTTATTGAATATACAGCTTCATATTCAGGGAACCCAAAGATGCTGTTTTCTTGGATAACAGTTCATGGTTAAAACCTGCACTGAACATATTTTATATTTTGCAAACCAAAATATGGAGACAGTGGAACCAGATACTTAACGGGATTATCAAAAAAAATCATCAGTGTAGCCACGGATAAGTGTCATTTTTGACCGCTTCTGGACCAATCTCAAACAGGCCTGTGCAAGACAAATTATTGTCTTTGAACTCCATCTGGTTGGATTCGTTTTTGTACTTTTTCTTAGCTTCATTTAGATGTTGCTTCCTCTGTTTACAAAAATATCTGGAGAAATGCTAATTCCTTAATAAATATAATTAAGATACTATTTAAGAGCAGATGCAGAAAATGCCATGCGGTACATAAATGGAACTCGTCTGGATGACCGGATCATTCGCACAGACTGGGACGCAGGCTTTAAGGAGGGCAGGCAGTATGGCCGTGGGCGTTCTGGGGGCCAGGTATGCAGAAAGGTGCTCTGGGTTCAGCCTTTGCCTGTCCTAAATGACAAGTGTTTTGTCAATTTGTATTTGCTCTTTTGAAAATAACTTTGTGCCTATAACCTTGGCTTGAAGTGAATCTGAAAACCACCCATTGGGGTTGGTAAATTATTTTTACACTTGATCTTAGCCAAAAGGCTGAGAAGTGATGATAAATTATTTTTAAAAACCATTAAGTAGTGTATTATCTACATCACAAGCAACCATTATTGGACTTCTGCTGGGGCTAAATGTTCTCCACCTGCCAAGAGTGTTGAACAAAAGCAAAATGCACTAAAATGACTTTTACATTTTTATTTTAAAATAGTTTATTCTTTGCAACGTGCTATCTTTGAATGCTGAGTATGAACCTCGTGTTTGGTAAAACACCATTAGGTAGTCTTAAATAATTTTGCAGGGCAGTTGAGCTATATTATCAATTGCTTAAAATTAATTATGTTCTGTTCTGCTTGAAATGTTCACATAATGACACCTGAAAAGGCGTAGTTATTTGACACATTTTAGGAAGCATGTTTGTTACACTCATCTCTATACTGTAACATGTTCTTTTCAATTAAGGTACGAGATGAGTATCGTCAGGACTACGATGCTGGGAGAGGAGGTTATGGAAAACTGGCCCAAAACCAGTGAGTGGTGAGAGCCCCGTCATGAAAAACTCACTCCTTTGGCCTGTTGAATTTGATGTGCATTCCCAAGGTCTGCGAACCTGCCTATTTTTACCAAGCCTTATTTAATATGTCTCTACTGAGCTGGAAGGCTCTTCATGGTTTTCCACTTAAAAAATTATTAAAGGACAGAATCCAAAAGAATGCCTTTAATTCTATAGTCTTAACATCTTGGTTGTGTGTCAGATTACCAGAATGATTTCTGTTGCCAGGTCAAAAACTGTGTTCCTTAGCAACAGACTTCATGTGTTATGTTGCTCTATCAGCCAAAACACACTTCTTTTAGGAAGAATGGAAAAAAAATTTTTAAGTGTTTACCATGTTTGCATCTAAGTAGGTTTATGGTCTACCGTGGGGCCTGGAATTACTATTTTTAAAATTTTAAGTTTGCATAAGATAAAGTTTAATAAGTGGAGTTTTGCTGTGTAATGTAGCTTTACTCTAAATTAGGAATAGATTTTGATAACTGAATTTTTTTCTATGTTGAATTTTAATCTCTAAAGGCAAACTTAGAGTCAAGGGAACTTCCTAAATAGTTGGGTAAGCCTTAGACAGTCGCAGGGGACACCACTTCTTATGTGCTTTTTATATCAGGAAATTAGGTCAGGACTTGAAGGGTATTTACTAAACACATTTTTCAAAATATGTTTTCGCTAATGCTAAAAAAACCTAGGGTCAGTGTTACAGGGAACCTCAACTTCTGTTAGGGCAAGGGGGACGCTGTCGGTAGGAAATGGGCAGGAAATATCAGGAGATGTGAGTTAAACCAGTGCCTTGACACGATGAAGGTTGCTGTGAGAGCCAGCAGATCTATTTTTTTCATTTCCAAACTGATCTTGGGAATTGAGTGGGGTTGTTTTGTTTTTAAAAAAAAGAGCTTTAAGATCAAGAGAATACGTAACAAAATCAAAATCAGAAATGCTTCCCTCGGGAAATGTTTTGGCTCATTCTCATACTGAAGTCTGTCTCGTTTTTTCCCTAGCTAACTGTGCTGAGTTTCAGAGCCTGGGTAGTGAGCTGGTGGTCTCTACAGAGAAGGGAGTCTGGAGGATTTATTTTGCATTTGTAAGGCAAGAGAGAATTTCTCTAATATTATGTGAACTATTGCTCATTTTAAACTGGTAGTCTAGTATAATTTTCCCTGATGTAAGTGGTATTTTTTCATCTAGCAACAAAGTATCTCCTAATTTCCAGTAGTTTGTGAAGTTGGGGCTGAAGTATCTCAATTGAACATCTTTCATGTTACAGTAAGTGTATGTTTTCTCAAATTTAAACTGGCTATTTGAACTTTAAAAGAAAGATATCTCTAAATTAGTTGTATTTAGGAAAACATTTGCAAATATCTAATTTAATGAGGACATACAATTCATTATTAAAATCTTTTTTACACTGTAGTTTGAATTAATGTATTTTATATTTTGCAGTAAAACGTAACTCAGATTTCTATAGGCATTAAAACCACAGTGGTTCCTATTTGAATTGTCTTCTGTAACAGAGTTCAATAAAATTGGACCAACTTATTGTCTGTGTTTCCTCACCAATGATTGATAATGACATTGAAGCCGTCTTTACTCTGGAACACATTTTTTGGGGGAAATCTATGAATATGTATGCAGAATTTGCATGTCCATTTTAATTTGACAGTTACTAATATTGCTAGCCACTAGCCACATGTAGCTAATTAACTAAATTAAAACACTCAGTTCCTCAGTCAGTCACATTAGCTACATTTCAGATGCTCAATAGACACCCGTGGTTAATGGCTGTTGTAGATAATGGAATTTGTAGGATGCCAATACAGAACATTTCCATCATTGCAAAAAATGCTACTAATGGACAGTGTGGGCTGCTTAGAGCCCACACTGCTCACTGTTAATAGATGAGCCTTGTCGTGACTGGTATGTCACTGGGAAAAATTACCAAACAGTACATTTTATCCAACACAAGAGAACACACATTTATAAAGGCATTTAGTTTATTTTTCAAAAAAATATTTTTGCTAGAAGGTTTGAGTGATTTTTACATGATCACAATCTTTAAATAATTTTTTTCTAACCAAAAGGTACCATTTAAGTGGACAGCTTGTCTAGATTTGCTTTTGTTAACACCCAAATACAATTAGCACTTCTGATGGCATTCCCTAGGTCTTCTTAATTATCTACAGGCCAGGAGGCAGAGCCTAGCACATAACAAAGTATGTGCTTTACACCTGCTGATTAGTTCAGTTGCATAACAATTAAGCAGAGCAGGTAATCAGGATATCTAATTCACGCTATTAACACACTGGTTCTCGCCTGAAGAGTCTGATTCACCCAGAGCTCCCAATTATTCCTTCTAACCCAGGGAAGTAGTATACCACAACTGCAAAGAAAAGGGGCAGCTCAACTTAGGCTAGTGCTGGCTGTGTCCCAGTTAGGTCTGTTATTTTGTTCCAACTATGAATTCAAGGTGACCAATGTTAATCATATTCAATGATAAGTAGAAAACAAAATGCAAAGCCAAAACAAATGATTTGGGGATTACTGGCAGCAACTGCTGCTTCTCCCTTCCTTAAGTGCATCCCTTCCTTAAGAGAAGGTTGGTTCTCTATGATTCTTGAGTAGAACTAAAAGTTGAACTAAATCTACATTCATTGCTATAGATTTAACAAAAGGATAAAAGCAACTACAGACTGGTAAATTTGCTGATGGAGAGGACTGAGCAGCTTGTTGAAGGCACATCATAAGCAGCTTTTAGTTTGATAAGGCCTGCCCTCAACCCCAAAAGCATAAGGTCTGCCCACCTTGAGGGCACCCAAACAACTCAGTGCCAAGCTAGTGAGAGTAAAACAATGCCTGTCTCTTCTACCAACAGCCCAGACTGTATTTCCAAAATTTCTGTTGCAAGGAAGCCATTATTGCAAACATCAGGATAAAGGCCATTCTAAACTTAGGGCTTGGGCTAAATAGAGGTTTGCACCTAATCTCAAGATGGGGGGAAGCAACTATGTGTGCTGAAGCAAGTTTCGTGAACAACAGAGAAACATTTTAACCAGACTTAAAATATCTGACATTTAAGCTAAAGCATGCTGGACGATGTACCTCAAGGTGCCCTACTAAACTGGACATGAAAGGCACCCTGGACTTGGGACAGCTCACCTTAGGTTCTCTCTGCCTCCCTGTTAAGAGCATGACCATTTCTCAGAGTGGAGGAAATGGCAACTGAAACTTTGGGCATTAAGATTTTGGCCAGAACACAATTCTGTCTCTTCTGTATGCCTCCTTCTGTCAGAGAGTGAGATATGAGATACGGAGCTCTAAAGTATAAGACATTTTTAATCAATAGTCTAGTTACCCATTACACACACACACAAAAAAAGGCAAATGTCTCACATACAGGTTTGAAAAATCTCATGTTTGTATAATTATGCCTGAAAACCTCAAGAAGACACCCAACCCATTTTGTCACCTTTCCTAATGCTGATACAACCCTACCTGTAGCAGCACAAAGTGCCTCTAATATCAGTCTTTTTAATGACTTGAAGCACAATAAGAAATACTGACCTGGTTTTATATTATACTAAGGAGTTTGAGTCTGAGGGACTAGGAAAGTGCTGGGGCTGTTTACAATGTAAACATTGGTGTTGGTGCTTGGAATGTCTGGGGATGGGAACCCTGCATGTAAACATGTTCTGACTCCACCCTCAACTGCTGGCAGTCAGCCCTACCTTATGGCCAAGTTAAACTGCACATTTTAGCTTTTTATTTTCAACACCTCACACCTAACAAGGCATAAACCAAAGCATCTTCTGCCATTTACTTGGTATTTTTCTGTACAAGCTTCTGAATTTCTTGTATACACGTTTGTTGTTTTTCCTCCCCCAGTTCAGAAAAGATGTAGTTTAACATGCATCTTTCCCTATTTCCTTTCGTTTCCAATATCACAAAACTTTGTTAGATTAAAGATGCAAGATCCATTACTTTAATCCTAATGCAGCCAAGGGTAATAAATCAGGACAGGGCCACTTCTGCCTTCCCCCAGAAGATGAAGTTCATGGAAGCAAAAAAAAGGACTCCTGTGCTAGAGTCTCAGGGTTGGTCAAGCAGAGGCAGATGAGCCCTGCATGCTGTTGAGATCACTAGAGAAATAAGAGGGAAAAAACTCATAACATTTGCTGTACTCCCCCAGTTTCATGTCTCCCTTAATACCTTTCCTGTTCTCTCCTCTCCACCCACATGCAAAATACCTGAAGTCAGTCTTCGGTTTTGAATGTTTATATTTTAAATACCCTTGAAATAGAAAGGTATTTGGCAAATCTGAATTTCTTCCATATGGGAAACAACTGCTGTTAGAAAGGCTGAATTCTCATTTGTTTGACCACTAGTTTTGACAGATACTAATTTTTTAATGGGTCAAAACCAGAAAAATCCAGGGAATCAGTGTTCCAGCAAAAGCCTTTGTAAGATTAAAGCATTTATTATAAATGCTTCTTAAAACCAAGATTGAAATCTCTCATGTGTGAAGATAAATGGACCCTCAAGGTCGCTGTCTTTTTCTCATACCTTAATCAACTCTTCCCAAAGCAGGCACTGTGCTTACAAGTGTGCCTCCGTAAATAGAACATACCAGTCAGTTTATGGCCACTTCCTTTTCACCCTTCAAAAAGAATGTGACTCACTTGGAGAGGGAAGTCAGTGAAAGGTGCTGCTGGTAAAAATAAAACAGGACTGGCTTTGTCTGAAACCCCTTCTAGCTACCCTTTATGCCCCAGGGAACATCTACTATTCTCAGAGTTACGCTGTATCAAAAACATCCTGCATTTTTAGGTTCTGGAATTAAAATTTAAACCTGTATTCAGTTCACATCTAACTAAGTTTCAAAAGCTGCACCAAATCTACTAGGCTTTTTTTTTTTTTTTTTAATACTCTGCACTGCATGCTCTGTCTATATGCATGCGTTTGGATAATAAATATTAAATATGGGGGGGGACACACACACACAGAATCCATAAAATTAAAAATGAAACCAAACTGAACATTAAAAAATAGTACATAGTAACTAGGGAAATGAGTAAGGGCAGAAAATAAATTTGAGGTAACAACAGTGGCCAAACACCACTGATCTGAAATATCTGTAAAAATTCAAATAAGTGTTTGGAGATTCAAGTAACAAACCATCTGCTCCAACTTGGTCAGACTTCCCAGAGTCCCTGCTGAGTTTCAGTCCATGAGCCGGCACTCACACAGCTCCTTGTAAATCCTCTTCCGCACTCGGGGCATGTCTTCTTGGGAAAACTGGAAAGGCTGCTCTAAGGCGAGGCACTTGCAGTACTGCAAAGGTCCCAGAAACACTTAAGTGGCACGTGGAGTTATGTACCAGCCTAATGTATTTTACTAGATGCAGACCTAATAGAATAGGGTCTAAGGCAAATGTTAAAGTTTGTTTAAACTCGTAAAACTGTTTTAAAACATTTACCTCCAAATTATAGTCAATTTTCCAGGCAAGTATATGTCTTGGGATTCTCCCTCCCTCCCCACTCAATACTGTGAAAAGCAAAACCAATGAAGGGGCTCCAGTTCTTCTAAAGGTGAAATCTGCTGAGAATGCAGCCAGACCTAACATGGCCTTTAAGTGAGAACTTGAATTTGTTTACAAACATGAGTCATATGAGTGAGCCCATCTTCCAAGATCTTCGGAAATCTCTAAATTCATGGATTATGTACTATAATTTCCTTCATAAATGTATAACAACTTTTTCAATAGCCCTTTGAGACCTAAGATCTACAGCATGAGAAAGCACAGTGTTTAAATGTGGCCCTTATTTAAAATCTAATTAGGTTTTACTCTGTGGTTAAAGACCACCTACCAATGGTTAGAAAAATATAGTTAATACTACCAATGCCAAGGGTCTATGAAACAGACAAATTCACATCAGTCTCCAATGTGGCTTACCAATAGCCTCTGATAATACATGGATGATACCAATTATTCATCTTCAGCCTTAGAAGGTGATTCTTCCTAATGATAATATATGAAAATGCAGAACTACTGCTTCCCAACAACAAAGGAGGGTTGGGAGGAAAAGTGTTCTGTTATCTGTACCTAGTACCTGTATACATCAGAGGGATCCCACTTCTCCCTAAACCCAATAAATTTAATTTATAAATTGTAAATACTGAAAAAACTATTTCTTTACCTGGAGCACAAATACTCCACAGTCACTGTCATTTTTCTGTTGTGGAATACACTACGGGGAAAAACAAAACGATCATTAAAATAAAACCAAGTATTCCTCTTCAGATAAGAAAAGCTGTTTTTATGGAAAAATGAGCGAGACAGGAAACTTGTCTGTATCCAAGACAGCTGGTGTGTACCTCTGGTATTCAAAGTGTTTGAGTTTATGGAGGCATCTGGCCATGAAAAGAGCTATCAATCAACCACAAATTAGAACATTTTGCCTAAATGAGAAGTGGGAAATCAAATAAAATCCTATTTTAAAACTTCCATTTGGATAATTAGTTTTGCTATCAATTCACTGACAATGGAATCAAAATGGAATTGTGGATCAGAGAACGCAGCGCATGGCCTGGACTCTGAATACGTAGTAACAATGCTGCTTGGCAGTCTTCCCTTTTCATCTCATATTTCACAACTCTGTCCTATTCTTTTAAAGACATGGTAAAGGTAAGCAGTATGTTTTCCAAAGAACTGGTTACTGTACTCTGCCTAAAGTGCTGGAATATGAAAGATCCTGATTAAATTTAGAATACCTGGATATACTACTGGGTAAATTCAGAATATTCACAAGTTCAGTTCTGGTTTGAACTAATATACTAGGTTATTTAAAATACAAAACATAAGTTTAGAAGTTAGCATATAGTACAGTTCAAGGATAAACAAATAAGCCTTGTCCCTTTGGGTTTGGGTTAAAGGTTTATATCAAGACCCTGCCTTTTTAACAGTGTCTTTGATCTGGATAGACCTGAGTTCAAAGACTTCAGAGTCTGTCAATAGTTTTGATGGCCTTTGGGGAAGTTCACACTTAGGATTCAGCTTTCTCATCTACAATAAAGAGCTGCTTATCCCTAAATGACCTGCCTACCTCACAGATTATAAGGATCAAATGAGATCATACATAGAAAAACACTATGAAAACAAAGCAGTGCCCATAAAACGGAAGACACTGATATTTGTGACAGGGTTAAGAGGCTAGGCCTGCTCACTCTGCCCCGCATACAGCTTTTATGTCTATGGCCAAACATAGTGCTGCTTCTAGACTGTTCAGACTGAAGCACTCAGGCCACTTGTCTTCCCCAAATGCCTGGAAAGCAGCCCAGTACACTTGCTCCCTTAGTGAATCCAAATAGTCATGTCAGTATTTCTCTGGGTCTACATGAGTCATCTGGAAATAAGAGCCATGAGGCAAGAGGCAGGTGCCACCAAAAAAATTTTTTTTTCCTTTTTTTCAACAGAGCAACTATATCATCAGCAGCTGCCCCCAGGATGAAATGACTGAATTTATTTGCCCCAGCAGGCAGTGGGAAATTGGGCAGCCAGGTGATGAATACTGAACTGAGGTTTACTCTGAGCTGCCTCCCTGCAGCCTCTAGGCTCTCTATTGGTATCTTCATGATCAGTCTTCATGTGCTTTTAAAGACACCCACCCCTTAGACAATTCCAGCCCCTTGACATGCCTGGGTTTTCATTTTTATCACTTACTTACCTTGGTAACAGCAGTCTGCCAACCCTGAAGAAATTCAGGTCTATTTTTTTCTCTGGCTTCAGTCAGCAAATACTTTCTTATATTCTGGTTAAAAAGAAACCACAACACAGATGCTGTGTTCCATCAGTTGGTGAAAAATGGAACCTGCCCGCAGCAGACAGAAGCAAAGGAGGAGGCTGTGGCCCCACCACTGGGCAGAGTATGCATTAAAGAGTTTAAAGCTGGAACTTGATTTCAGACCTTTTTCAATTTATAGAGTGAAGGACTCAGACCTTCTGTACTGTATGCACTTAGACTGTGGACACTGGTATATGCTTTAATTAGATCTTTTTATGAGATGGTCAGCCTTTTGCAGGAGTAAGTCAACTTGCTGAATTTGAAACTTAAATAAATACTGGCAAAACAAAAAGAAAGCCTTAATTACTGCCAATGCCCAACAAAGGGAAGGAACCCATGGCAGAAATCATTAATAACTGAAATGAAATTTAAACATTCTAGCCTTAGATATACTCCATGTTTTTGAGGGCTGCAGGTAAAAGTATCATTCAGCTTCTAGAAAGTGATACTTAAAACCCATCCTGGATACTAAATACAGTCAAGTCCACTGCTGAAATCTCTACCAAGATGAAGCCTACTGAAGTTCCTAATTTTCCCTTATGCCCTCCACCTCTTTGTGTATCTTTCTCTGCCTATCTTTTCTAAGGGTGAAGTCAGAGGTTACATGAATTAACCCCCTGAAGGTGGAGCAGAAGTATGTATGTACATGTAGAGATACAAGTATGTGTCTGTATATACATACATACATACATACACACATACACGTATCTGCATATTCGTATTTTCTTTCCATATATAGTATCATTCTGCAACTTGCTTTTCCAAACTCAGTATGTCTTGGAGATCTTTCCACGTTAGGACACAAAGATCTACTATATTCTTTTTAACTGCTATGGTCAGTTTAATATTGTGAATATACTACAGTGTATGTATGTATTTAGCTAGTCTGTTAGTAGAGCTAAATTTAGGTTGTTTTGACTTTTCACTATTATCAGTAATGCTGCAATGAACATCCTGGTGTATGCCCCATTCTTGTGTGCATATACAAGTATTTTTATGTAGTATATACCAAGAAACAGAACTGGTATGTAATAGGATATGTGTCTTTTTAATTTATAAGGCACTTAGAATTGCAATTGTTCCCCAAGGGGCTGTATCAATTTATACACTCCACCAGAAATTGAGAATGCCTGTTTCTTACACCCACTTTAGTAACATCAAACTTTTCCTAACATAATAGGCAAAAAAATGGAACCCTGAGGTAGTTTTAATTTGCATTTCCCATATTTCTGGTGAGGCTGAGCATCTCTCCATGTGTTTAATGGCTATTTGCATTTTTCCTAAAAATCACTTATTTTATCCTTTGTCCCTTTCTATTAGATCCTTCTTTTTCTTATTCATTTGTAGTTCTTTTTATATTCTGGATAGTGACTATTATCTATGTCACAAACATTTTCTCCAAATCTATCCCTTTTAACTTTATGACAGACAGAAGTTTTAAATGATGACACGGTCAAATTTATCAATCTGTTCCTTTATGTCTTTTGCTTTTTTTGGTTCTGTATAAGACCTTCCACACTCTTCGTGTTTTATATTTAGGTCATTATTCCATCTGGAATTTGTTCTTATAAATAGTATGAAACAGAACCTGTATTTTACTTTTCCAAATAGAGAGCTAATTTTCCCAATGGCATATATCGAATAGCCTGTCCGTCCCCAACTTTATTATATACTAAGTTCCCACATATACATGAGCTACTTCTAGATTCTCTATGCTGTTCCACCAATCCACTTGTCTATTCCTAAACCAATATAATTAAAATAGCTTTAATTTTCAAAACTTTGTGATATGGTTTGACATCTAGTAGACCAAATATTCCTTTGTTCAGTTTTGATCTACTTCAAAACTATTTTAGCTGTTCATGCACATGAATTTTGCAATATGAATTCTAGGATGAGCTTATCAGGTTTCATTCAAAATCCTCCTGGGAAACTGATTAGGACAGAAATCAGTTTATATTAGTTTAGGGAGAATTAATCTCCTTCCGATACTGAGTGTGCCTGTCTTCCCATCTATTCAGATTTCCTTTAAATACTTTAGAGTCTTCATCTCAAAGAATGTCCCCATTTTTTGTTAGGGTATACTCCTGGGTAATTCATGTCTTTGCTACTTTTGAAAATGGAATCTTTCTGTTTTCATTTACATTTTCTAACTGTGCGGGAGAATCAGGAAACATACTGATTTTTCTTGCTTTGTATCCCACCATCTTATTGAACTCGTATTAACTGAACTCTAATATTTTGCCAGCTGATTCTCTTGGCTATAATACACTCTACAGAAGTTATTTTGAAGATACAAGCCAATTTTAGCTCTAAGAGAAACCAAGGAAAATGATTTCTATCCACATTCAAAATGTAGTTTTAAGGGAAAGACAGAAAAAAATCTGATGAAATCCAAAACAGGGCATGTATCTCAGAGAGGGATCCAGATCGTGGACAGCTACCTCTTCCCACCTGGAGATTCCTCTTGTCCTTTTCTCTGCCAACATTTTTGACATGACATGACAGAAAATGATCATCTGTGGTACTGACTTCTGTTGTTCTATCCTAGAGCTGAGATACCATCTGGTCAATCACAAAATAAATGGGGAAAAAAAGGGGGGGGCAGTATATTAACTTACCTCTACACAAAACTTAAAATGAATGCCTTGGGAATCATAAAATGAAATAATTCGATTAGAGAGTGTCACAGTAATGAGAGACCAGTGGACTTCCAGGTGAATAGGAATCAACAGAAGACTCTTTTTAAACAAATCCACCTGATCAAGAAAAGAAAAAGAAATGTAGCCATCACCACAGGCTTTCCAAACCAACAACAAACAGCAGCTTCCATTTACTGACCTTTGACCTGTCAAAGGTCATAAAACTAGGAAGTGGTGAAGCCAGAATCTGAACCCAGATCTTAGTCTAAAGCCCATGTTTGTAACTAGTAAGCTAAAACACACAAGAAAACTGAAGATAACAGAAAGCACTGTTTTCCATTTAACCTGCTAAACCTGTGTTTATTAACTACCTAAAATGACTTAGCCCCTTATTTTTAAGCCTAACTTATTTTCTTATATACATATTTGACCTAGAATCAATTCTTATTTAGGAAGGAATTGTGGTATTAGAAAACAACATAGCCTTGCAATATGATCACAGGCTCTGAAGTTAAGTCTGGTCAAGTTCAAATTGTAGCTCTGCCACTTATTGGCCAGATGACTTTGGCAATTTTCATAGCTTCTCTGTGCCTTGATTTCCTCAATTATAAACTACAGATAACAATAGTACCCACCTTATGAAGTTGTTGAGAGTGACAATAAATGTAAAATGCACAAAAGTGTGCTTAGCAAATTATATGTAGCCAATAAATCTTAGCTGTTATTATCACTACCTCAAATCTCTCAGATGTCGAAATTGAGAAAAAGAGCCTTGATAATTCTTCATGTCCTTTACATCCTCACTCACCCTTCATATCGTAATACATATCGTTTAAAAATCTAGAAACATTCACTGTACCACTCAAAATCCCAGTTGTGGACTGGATGATAAAGTAGTAGGTACTCAATAAACATTTGTAAAAGAGTGAATGGATTTTTCTCAGGCGTTTTTTGTATTTTAGTGATTCCCCGGGTTAAAACGATTACAGGGCTATTTTCTTCTTTAATTACTTATTTTATTTTTGGCTGCGTTGGGTCTTCGTTGCGGTGCACATGCTTCTCATTGCCATGGCTTTTCTTGTTGCGGAGCACAGGCTCTAGGCACAAGGGCTTCAGTAGTTGTAGCATGAGGGCTCAGTAGTTGTGGCTCACAGGCTCTAGAGCACAGGCTCAGTAGTTGTGGCGCATGGGCTTAGTTGCTCTGTGGCATGTGGGACCTTCCTGGATCACGGATCGAACCCGTGTCCCCTGCACTGGCAGGTGGGTTCTCAACCACTGCACCACCAGGGAAGTCCCTACAGGGCTACTTTAAACTAGATTCTTAGAAACTATTTCTCAAGCGTTCTTTGCTTTCTGATATTCAGATAATGTCCTGTTCTAGAAGAATCTTCTACCAGTCTACATGACCTTGTAACAAACCATTTCTGCTTTTCAGTTTATGTATCCATAAACCTGAGAGGTGAGGTGGACAGGAAATACTAAATAGGACATACAATTGGTCCTTTCCAGCTCAAAAATTCTGAGTATCTAAAACAAGAAATCATATTTAAAATACAGCATTAAATGAGACCAAATTTACATTTTTCTCAAAAAGAAACTTTTTTCTTAATTATAAATCAATTTTAAAATAAAAATTGCAAAATACAGATAAAAGATATACTTCAGTTTGTCTTTCCAGATCTTTTTCTTCTTTTTAATATATTAATGTTCACACACGCGCACACACAACCTTATTACATATATGTAATTAAGAATGATGTGTGTGGAGTGACTAAGATAGAAAAATAGAGGATGTGATGATGAAGAGTCTGGTTGTTAACAGGCTTTCTTGGATTGAGAGATAATGTCTAAACAAGGCTGAGTTTGGAGCACATTTCTTCAACATGTGTAGGTTAAAGGTTTCACTTGTCAGGTGGAGTGTGTATTGAGACTATGTATTGAGACTTGTGTATGAACAAGAAGGTAGGCACAAAGCCCTCTAGTTATCAGAGGATTTAGCTTCAGGAGAAATGGGGGGTTATCTACTCTAGATGGCAAAGAGCTGGGAGAGGCTCATGGGCTTGGCATGCTAATAAGGTAGAATTAGAAGATGAACTTTCAAAATGCATTGTTTACAAAAATCTTTCTCACTGAACTATGCCCTCTCTGTAGGTATTAAAAAAGTTGGTTTCTCATTTGCATAATAAAGTGGAGAGCTAGTAGTGGGAACTTATCTAATTCAAAGTTAGTACTTAAATTTCTAAGAAAAAAATATTTGAAACAGTAACAAGTTGTATATTGCCAAAAACTACAGGAAAAAATGAAATATAATGCTTTGGAGATGAAAAGAGCTTCAAATATATAAAGTACTTTAAAATTGTAGAAAATATAGTTCAAAATGATGAAATAAGAAATGCTAAAATAAGAATATGCTACAGCAGGAGGGACAAAAAAAAAAAAAAAGAATGATGTGTGTGGTCAATTGTATCACTGATCTCAATTACTTGGTGTCCTCCCTGTAAGAGGATTATACAGAACTACCTATTACCATGTGGCTTCACTGCCCCTTCCAGGGGGAAAAATGTAGTCATATGATTCACTGTAAAGAGAAATGAATTTATCTCATGACCAAGCTGAAACTTCAAGAGCCATCATGTGGCCCTGAGACTGACATGTCTGAAGATTAGGTGCTGCTCCTTCAGTTTGGGTCCCATTAAAGGAATAAAGATGAGAAAAGACAGGATCATCTCCTTAGATATAGGGAAAAGCATCTGATAAAACTCAACATCCATCTATGATTAAAAGCTCTCAGCAAACTAAGAATAGGAGGGAATTTCCTTAACCTGGTAAAGAGCGTCTACAAAAAACCTACAACTGACATCATAAACAGTAGTGAAAAACTGAATGCTTTCCTCCTAAGATTAGGAACAAGGCAAAGGTGTCCTCTCTCATTACTTTTATTCAACAACGTACTAGAAGTCCTAGCCAGTGCAATAAAGCAGAAAAAGATGGCATACGATTTGGAAAGGAAGAAATAAAACAGTCATTACTTACAGACATGACTTTCTATGAAATTCTCACAGAATCTACAAAAAAGCTCCTAAAACCAGTGAGTCTGACAAGTCACAGGATACAAGGTCAATTTACAGAAATCAATTGTATTTCTATATACTAACTGCAAACAATTGGAAGATAACGTTTTAAAAATTGTTTTTAGCAGTTTCATCAATATGAAACACTTAGGGATACATTAAAAAAAATAAGAGCTCACATGCCACAATTAAGGAGCCCAGCGGCTGCAACTAAGGAGCCTGCAAGTTGCAACTAAGGAGCACATGTGCTGCAACTAAAGGAGCTGGTGAGCCACAACTAAGGATCCCGCCTGCTGCAACTAAGACCCAGCGCAACCACGTAAATAAATAAATAAATACATGCAAGACCTGTACACTAAGATTTATAAAATATTGCTGAGAAAAATTAAAGACCCAAATAAATGGAAAATATACCATGTCATGGGCTAGAAGACTTAATACCGTTAAGATGTCCATTCTACCCAAATGAACATACAGATTAAACACAATCCCAATCATAATCCAGCAAGTTTTTTAAAAGTAGAGATTGACAAAATGATTCTAAAATTTATATGAAAATGCAAAAGGACCTAGAATTGCCAAAGCAATCTGGAAAAAGGCTAAAGCTGGACCCTTACACTGATTTTAAGACGAACTGTAAAGATAAAGTGATCAAGACAGTGTGGTATTAGCATAAAAGCAAAGAGATTGATGCAAGAAAACATAAAGTCCAGAAACAGACCCATACATATGTTGTCCACTGACTTTCTACAAAGATGCCAAAGCAATTAAAGTGGGAAAGAGAAGCCTTTTCAGGAAATGCCAATGGAGGGGGAAAAAAAAAAAGAACCTTGATCCCTACTTTGTATCTTACACAAAAACTGAGATGTACCAGAGATGTAAATGTAAAACCTAAAACTATAAAGCTGTTAGAAGAAAACATATGAGGCAAGTATTTTTTAGACTGGATACAGAAAGCAAAACTATAAAAGAAAAAAGTATGGTAAATTAGATTGCATCAAAATAAAAACCTCCATTCATCAAAACACATATTTAGGGACTTCCCTGGCGGTCCCGTGGTTAAGACTCCACACTCCCAATGCAAGGGGCACTGGTTCAATCCCTGGTCAGGGAACTAAGATCCCAAATGCCTCACGGTGTGGCCAAAAAAAAAAAAAAAAAAACACACTTGTTTAAGAAATAAGTATAAAAGCCACAGACTGAGAGAAAGCAGTAAAAAAGTATAGATCTGACAAAGGACTTACAACCAGAACTCAATAATAAGCACTTTACTACAAAACTTTTCATTTTTTTAAAAAATTAATTTATTTATCTATTTTTGGCTGTGTTGGGTCTTCATTGCTGCACGCGGGCTTTCTGTAGTTGCGGCGAGCAGGGGCTACTCTTCATTGCAGTGTGCGGGCTTCTCACTGCAGTGGCTTCTCTTGTTGAGTAGCACGGGTTCTAGGCACGCAGGCTTCAGTAACTGCAGCATGTGGGCTCAGTAGTTGTGGCTTGCGGGCTCTAGAGCGCAAGCTCCGTAGTTGTGGCACACGGGCATAGCTGCCCCGCAGCATGTGGGATCTTCCTGGACCAGGGATCGAACCTGTGTCCCCTGCATTGGCAGGTGGATTCTTAATCACTGCGCCACCAGGGAAGTCCCAAAACTTTTCATTCTTATCATTCACCCATTTTTCTATTGAGTTGGTGAGGTCTTTTTCTTATTGATGTGTAGAAGCACTTTATATATTTAAAAAATTAGTTCTGTGATTTGAATTGCAAATATTTTTTCCCAGTTTACTGTTTGTCCTTTTAGGTAATTAATTCTTTTTTTTTTTTTTTAATGTCATCTGAGCTTTAAGTTGTACACAGAATGGACTTTGCTACTCTGAGATTATTTTTTTAAAGTTCTGCTATGGATTTCCTTTGTACTTCCACTGTTTCACTGTCTTGTTGCATTCAAATCCTTGGTCGTTCTGTAATTTATATTAATGTAGTCTAATTTAGTGAGTACTTAATTCTTCTTTCATTTGTTCTTTAATAATAATGCATTTATGGTCATTATTTTTTCCTCAAAACAGCTTTCATTATGTTCCATAGTGGTTGGTAAGATGTGTTCCCCTTTCTATCCTTTTCTAGACAGTTTGTATATAATTTCATTTTTTATTTTCTTTTAGACCCAGGGGTCATATCAAGGGTTTATATCTAGTGCAATTTTTTAATTAAGTTTTTTTAGTCATCTTTTAATATTTATTTTTAATTTAACTGAACTGTGGTTAAGGAATAGTGTAATAATTTTCTTTGTGGCCAAGTACATGGTCAATTTTTTACAAATGTTCCTTAGATATAGGAATAAATGTATATTCTCTTTTTGAGGGGTATAAAGATCTAGTATATATCTATTAAACCAAAAGCACCGGTTGTATTATTTTTTATTTATGATCTTATTTTTTATCTACTAGATTTGTCCAACTATGAAAGAGGTCTCCCATTATCACTATTTACCAAGGTCTCCTAGCTTTTGTAATCATTGTTATATCTCCTATGTATTGAAGTTTTATCATACAGTGTAGTGTACTTTTCACCTTAAATTCTACCACATCTGCTGTTAATACTGCTATTCCTCCTTTTTGCTTGCCACTCCTTTCTTCTGGTTTGCATTTGCCTAGTACCTCTTTACCTGTCACTTTACTTTCAAGCTTTCTTTTTCATATTATTTTATGTTTACTTCTTATACACAGCATATAGCTGGATTTTCTGATTTAACCCAATCTGAGAGGGTCCAGAGGATGGAACAATTTAATTTATTCTATTTAATGAAATGACTCACATATTTATACTTGACTTTATTCCTTCATTCTCATGTTGTTTATTATTCAGGAATTCTCCCATGGGTATATATTTTTCCATGCTATTTACAAGGCATACCTTGTTTTACTGTACTTTGCAGATATTGCATTTTTTATAAATTGAAGGTTTATGGCAACCCTGCATAGATAGTCTATTGGCACCACTTTTCCAACAACATTTGTTTACTTCATGTCTCTGTGTCACATTTTGGTAATTCTTGCAATATTTCAAATTGTTTTTTTATTATTTTATTTGTTATGGTTATCTGTGATCAATGATCTTTGACATTACTGCTACAACTCACTGAAGGCTAAGGGGATGGTTAGCATTTTTTTAGCAAAAAAGTATTTTTAATTAAGGTATGCACATTATTTTTTTAGACATAATGCTATTGCAAACATAAGGGACTACAATATAGTGTAAACATAACTTTTATACGCACTGGGAAACCAAAAAATCCAGTGACTCACTTTATTGCAATACTCACTTTATTGTGGTGGTCTGGAACCAAACCTACAATATCTCCAAGGTATACCTGTCTAACCTTTCTCTAATCCATACTACATATGATCATCTTTCCTCAGCTATGTAACTTTTCCTGGTTAAGTGGCATCCTATTATATGTATGTACAGTTTTAATTTGACCAATCCCCTACTAATTAGTTGTCCTCAATTTTTCTAATATAAACACCACCACAGCCCATCCAGTGGCACAAGCCACATACTCAGAAGTCATCTTTCACACTTCCTTCTCCTTCATTCCCATAACCTACTCATCACCAAGTTCTGTTATTTTACTCCCTAGGTCACACTCATATTTGTGTACATCTTCCATCTCTACCATTCTAATCTAAAGTATCATCAATCTGCAGTGGCCTCCTGTTCTACCCACATCAACTTTGCTCCCACACTTGTCCATCTTCTTCAGTGCCACTAGAGCAGACTACAAAAACTGGATGTCGTCACCTACAACCCTTCAATAGATTCTTACGCATTTAGGATAAAATTCAAAACACAGACCTCCAGACCCTGATCTCTGCATCAGATCACTTTATGTCACTCTCTTCTTTGCTCTGCATTCCAGCTACACTAGTCTTCTCCCATGCTTCTACCATCACAATATAAAAATGATGACCACTTAATGTGTTTATCATGTGCTTAGTGGTTTACATGCATTATCTCATTTAATCCTCACAAGATAAATAAAACTGATATTCCTATTTTATAGATGATGAAACTAAAGATTAAAGGAATTAAGTAATTCACCCAAGGTCTTACAACCAGTTAAGTGGCTGAACCAGGATCTGAACCCAAAAAATCTTATATGTTCCGGTATAATGTTGTAAGTCATAATTCTAGTTATTACTTTAAAATGTTATCTCAGAAATAACTAAATTTCCTTGTCAATTGCATTATTAAGAACTTTCATCAAATCTTTAACCGTGGTCATTTTTAACTCTTCTGTCATTTACAGACAGTTCTGGGTGGACTCTGATGCTTTTGCAAATACGCTCCTATAAAAGGGTTTCTTTCATCTTCAAGGAATTCATGGAAAAGACTCTGACGAGTACAGGTTTCTGGTCACTGACTATACTGCTGAACTGAATGAATGAGCATTTTCAGAACCCTAATGGAAAACTGATGAACTCATAAAACTGCTAACAAAAGATCAAGATAAAAAAAATTAATTACATGGGACTGAGTGAACTGATGAGGATGATTATAATTTTTGTGACTTTGTTTGAATAAAAAAAAAAGTCCCAAAGGACTCAGGGGCAAAAAATACACAAATCAATTTTCACTGCAAAGTAAAGGAGCTGTTACAGTGGAGGATTACTGGACTGAATGTCAATATTATGACATAGTATGAGTGTGTTTCGTGTTTGGTAATTGCAATCATTGTTGCTTTTGTTGTGGTCATCCATTTACAATGCTTGGTGTCAGTCTATTTATCTCTTGTAAAAATAAAATACAGTGTGTGTGTGTGTGGGGGGGGAAGGATCTGAACCCAGGTCTGAATCCTGAGTTCATTATATCTATTTCCCCAGATGTGCACTCTTCAACCACATATAGTTTATCTTGTCACTACTGATGATGCCTTGAACATATTACCTATATAGCAATGTTCAATCAGGTGTTTGTACTTTGCAAAAAATTATTTCCACCCACAACTACATAAGACAAGACTTACTCCTAATTACTCTAGCCCATCCAGTATAAAAAGTGAAAAGTTACAGTATCTCTAGACTTATGACTGTGAATTTTGAACTTGTTGGTAATTTCAAAATATCAAAAATAGTATATAAATAGGCTTTTAAAATAATGTTTCTGACAGTCAATGAATACTGAGAGAAATTAAGGTTGGAAAGTACCTTAGGGATTGCTCTAATTTATCATTCTGTTTTATAAATAAGCAATCTGAAGCCCAAATTAAGTGTCTTATCTAAGTTGTACAGCAAGCTAATAGCAATGTCAGAACCATGAACTTCCAATCCAGTGCTTTCTGTTATAGCAGATTCCAATGAACTGGATAGACTCAAGAATTTTACTAGTGTCTTGTCTTTCAAGCAAAAAGATTCCTTTGCGATGACCTAGGGGGTGGGATACGGAGGGTAGGAGGGAGGCTCAAGAGGGAGGGGATATGGGGATATATGTATGCATATGGCTGATTCACTTTGTTGTACAACAGAAACTAACACAGTATTGTGAAGCAATTATACTCCAATAAAGATCTATAAAAATAAATAAAATTAAAAACTAAACATAATCAAATGATGATGATAAAAAGGATTCAAAAGAAACAATAAAAAAACTTACATTAAAAAGCCTGTTTCTAATTAACATCATAATTGGCAATAAAGTTATCCCTCCACTCAAAGTGGCTTATCATCTGCATTTCAAATTTAGAATAAAAAAGAAATTAAAAAAAAAAGAAATAAAGAGAATACCTTTTTAGTCCATCTTTTTACTCCATTATATCCTTTGGTTACCAGCTGTCTATGAAAAAAGCTGTTGAAGAAGTGAACCTAGAAAGACATCAAATACAAGCACTCAGATTATATTAAGCTGTGCCAAGACTTAACTTCACAAGAAAATGGAAATTTTAAAATCCCTGAATGTAAGATGGACCAAAAAATGAGGAAAAGTTTCTTCTTAAAAATAATGACCAAAACATACATTAACCAGTTCAAAGAAGACTGTTTCAAATTTTCATTAGGATGACCTCACAGATGTGGTTGGTCTATAGTCAGAACTGGAATGGGGCAGTAAATAAATTACCTGAATCCAATCAAGTAAAGAAGCAACCTGATAAATCTCGTCAAATCAGGTGATAAAGTTGAAACAGGCTATGAAAGAATCAGGTAACAATTACTTTGAACTCAAGGGATGTGGAGTACAAAACTAACACTATCTGAAGGATGTGGACTTGGAGACTCCTATAGTCATAACAACTATAAAAAGGCTTTAGCATGATCATTTCTAGCACTGAAAAAATTACCCTAGTCGTATGTAGCATCATGTCCTGCATCCTTGGCTTTTTTAAAATTCTGGCTTATAAACGAGTATCAGCTCACCTGAGACGGTAAACATACTACGGTCTTAAAGTGTTCACTCTAACTTTGACTCACTTGAGATGATAAAACTGTTCCCTTAGTGCTGAGGTTCTCAGGGTGTGGTCATCAGACCAGCAGTATCAGCATCACCTGGGAACTTGTTAAAAGGGAAATTCTCCGGCCCCACTCCAGTCCTACTAAAACAGAAACTATGAGGGCAGGGCTCAGCAATCTGGTTTCTGAGGATTCTGATGCACATTGGTTTTGAGAATCACACAGTTTAAGATATTAATAAAAAAGGCTTGTAGTAGCTATCTCTAGACAGTAATCCTCAAACTTTGAGTCCTTCAGAATCTGCAGGGCTTGTTAAAACACACACTGCTGAGCTCCACCTCCAGTTTCTGATTTAGTAGGTGTCGGTTGGATCCAAAACTCTGCATTCCTAGTAAATTCCCAGGTGATGCTGATGCTGCTGGTTTGGGGACTATACTTTGAGAACGACGGCCTTGGTTAAGTGTCCTTTTCATCCAATGAAGGTTTAGAATTAAATGTAGTGGTAATGAAGGGAAATTATACTCTTGAAATTAATACTTTTATGTTAAAAATCATCTGGTGTTTAAATCTAAACATACAGATGTACGTTTAGATTTCTGATGATTAAGAGAATTTGACAAAATAGAGAATCTGACAGATTAGCTTCATGATACCAATTTAAAATGTATAACAGATTTCTGATTTTAAGTGGAAAGTTATGACATTTTGTCTTTATTAATAAAGTGTTGGAATCTGAGATTCATTATATTTACCTGTTTAAATTATTAGATTTATAAAAGTTTATAAAGTACTTGGAAAGGTTTTGCTTGAAATTGAAGCCTCCCCATCAGGCAATGTGAGTACTCAGAAAGAAAATTTAATATATTAAATTTTAAAAAATAGTAACTAAGCTCTTGAGGGAATTTTAGAGTTTAAGGGGGGTTAGTTTGTATTTAAACTGAGTATCAAAGATTAATCCAAGAAAAAGTGAAGATGAATACTACTTTACTACATTTTTAAAGGGAGTAATACATTAAGTTAAAGTTTTTTAAAGTTAAATTTAAAAATTCAAAGCAAATAGTCCTTTTTGTGCATCTACCCACTAAAGAAAAAAAAAGCCTCTTCAAGATATCAAAAAACACACCCATTCTGAAATAAATAAGCAGGAAAATACTGGCATCATGACTTTCTTATGCTGAAATGATTTTATAGACCTTATGCGCAATCCTAGCACATATCAAGACAAAAATCTCCTTTTAAAAATCTAAGAACTATCCAATAATTACATAAAGTTAAAAAAAAAAAAAGCTTCTTCCTTTAATACACAAGGATTCTTTCTCCTAAAGAGAAAGTTTTCACTTACTTTGTCTGGGACTGCATCCATTATCAGCTCACCGTACATATTAATGACCTATAAAAAGTCAACATAAAACCAGCTTACTAATAACCCTATGCAATTCAGAACATCCACTCAGAATGAATAACATATTGCTACTGCTAACAGTAATTAAACCTTTCCAATACTGTACTGGGTTAGTGAATGAGTCACTTCAGTAAGGAATAAAGAATCCTTGATTCCAAAAGATAATTGTGAGGCCAACCTAGAGGTTATTAATTACATTTTATTGTCCAACATCCTCTGCAACTTCCATGCTGAGAATATACAATACACTAACCTGGTCATTCAGCCAATTCTGACCATCCAGGGTTGCCAGATCATCCATATCCAGCATGTGCTTATTGTAGAAGATGCGGAAGTTGCATTTTTGATGTCTGGCCCGATAGTTTGTTATCTCCCTATTGATAAAAGGTTTTCTGAAACAGAAATATTTTGAAAGTAAAAAAAAAAAAAACACAAAACAAAAGTTCAACTCAGTTTACTGCTAAGTATCCTTTTTTTTTAAATCAAGAGAAAAGTCATATAAGCCAATAATTTTCTTTTCAATGGCTTAACTTAAGCATCATTGACAAACCTATTAGAAAAGTCTTCATTAAAGACATCTTTTAATCTTCCAAGGACATCTTTTTCACTGAGTGGGACCAAACTGCCATACTTCTTCATAACCTCATCTAGGAATCCTTAAATAAAGGAAGAAAGAAAATTTAAGATGGAAAAGCCATTTTCAGCAAAGTCACCGTCCCATTACTTAACTTATACACAACACTTAACATACATTTAACCTACATTACTAAATGCATTATAAAAAGAAATCTTTTAAAAGTTATACTTTGTAAAAAAAACTTAAATGGATCAGGCCCTCACCATTCCAATCTAGAGAGAAATGCTCTAAGGCATCATTTCACATTGGATTTTTAAGCTACTGATGCATTGTTAGAAAATGGATAGCTGAAACTAAAGACTGACATTTTTCAGTATCTTATCCTTGGAGAAGAATCCTATCTCCCAAAGGTAAAACCTAAAGGGTTTAATCACCTAGTTAAATGTGTCTATCACATTTAGTAACTGAAGAAATTATCTTTTTTAAAATCACAATTAGAATTGTTGAGATCACTGTCATTGTATTTATTATTTGATAAAGGTGTGAAATTTCACATCTCATAACAAGGGACATATACTAAGGCATTTTAAATATACAATTTGATAGTTATTTTAATACTCATGATACTGCATAACCCTATGAGGTGAGCTAAACCCTATGAAGTGAGCTAAACCCTATGAAGTGAGCTTAACTGGGTAACAGCTGGTGAGGCATGTTTTAAAAGAAGAAACAGAATTAAAGAATGACTTCTTGACCAGGATACAGGCTAGTCTTTACATCAACTTAAGTAATAGGTATATGCATTTTAATGGTTTCCAAGAGGATCCACTGAAGAAATATACCTAAAAATACGCTAGGAAATAAAACCAGGCCATTATTTCTAAGTAACTACAAAGAAGCTGAGGGAAGGCTTAGAGGCTCACAGAAGTGGAGATATGACTTAGGCTATCCACTGAGTGGGGAGTGGGGAGAACAACAGTCTGGCTAACCATCGGTCTGACAGTTAAGTCCACCGAGTTAAGATGGAAAAAATGAGGACTGTTAGCCACTTATTTTACCCAGCCCCCTTTCTAACTTCAAGAATGGCCTCTGCTAAGTATCTATATAAAATGGACAGAAATGATCACAACACAGTAACTGTCCTGGAAATGGAGTGTTTTGTATGGGGGAGGAGCAGACAAATGTGTGAAAAACCTATTTTCCTCCTGTTAGTCTCCCACCAGAGTAGCTCCCAACTTGAAAGGCTTAAGAGTATAGTAAGCAGGAAAGAGTTGCTTGCTTATGTCTGCTCCTGGTCTAGGCTTTAGGCATACAGAAGACAAAGGGAGTCTCATGTTCCAGTTTAGTCAGAGTAGGAGATGATGACTTGGGGCTTCTACACTAGGAATCCATTCGGCCTATGTTTGGCGATAGTGTTTAGTATATCATATCTTACAGTTGTCTAAGCATAGTCTTGTGTCTACATGGGAGAATGGACCCAAACAGAAGATAAGGATTCCCAACATTTGAGAAACTGAATTTAAGGAACAAATTTTATACAAAAATATTGCCCCTAATAACAAAAAATTAAACTTTAGGCCCAGCAACCTTAATTGAGACTCTTCAAATAAGAAAGCAATCTCTTCTACCAATCGAATATGGACCCAATTCCAAACTTGTAACAAGAGGTGTCCTTGTTATGTTAACAATGTTATTTCTGAACGGCAGTGTTTGGGGGATTTTAAGTTGTTATGTTTAAGTTGTTATGTTTTTTTCCTCTTATCCGTATTTTTGTTTTCACTTTCAGATGATAAACATGGATTGGTAATGCAGTAGAAAAGCCCTACCTGGATCTTCAAGGACAACCCTAATGACAATGTCTCACTGATGCACACCATTATCTCACTAGGACCAGAAGTAAACAACAGTTAAAACGTGCTCATACTGAAGCTGGCGTGCCTAGAGCCTGTGCTCCACAACAAGAGAAGCCACTGCAATGAGAAGACTGTGCACTGCAACAGAGTAGCCCCTGCTCTCCTCAACTAGAGAAAGCCCGTGCACAGCAACGAAGACCCAATGCAGCCAAAAATAAATACATAATTTAAAAAAAAAAGCACTCATAAGCCAAGCACCAGCATACCTCGTTTCATCCTTATAACTATCCTATGTGTTAGACAGTATCCCTACTTTAAAAATGGAGACAGGCGGCTTAAGGAGGTTAAATAACTTCCCCAAGGACCCTTAACTAGCATATGGCAGAAATCAGGTTCTGACTGTAGGTTATGTGACAACAGAAACTGAGCCGTTAACATCTATGCTGTGCCACCTCCAATGCAGGAAATATCTATTATCTCTTCTCTACAAAACAACTTAGTTCTTCATTTTACCTTTCCCTTCTAATACCCATGGGCCAAGAGTAACCCAAAAAACAGACTTCTGAAAATGAGAGTTACAGAATTCCCTGGAGGTCCAATAGTTAGGATTCCACGCTTCCACTGCAGGGGGCAGTGGTTCTATCCCTGGTTGGGGAACTAGATCCCACTTGCTGCAGGGCTCAGCCAAAAAATTAAAATAAAATGAGAGTTAAATTCACTATTTATCCACTTGTTTTCACCAAACCAATGAACCAACAAGGAAAATGCATTTGGAATATACAATTTCTTTTATTCCAGAAGTACTAAAATTTTAGTATGACCTAGAAGCAAAGGATAAAATATTAGGAAAAAACAAAACCATGAAAAATTGGAGTTCAAATTATATTCCATCTTGTAAGTACAAAAGGTAATAATGTGAAAAACAAAAACTGAGGTGTTTTTTAGAAGTTAAATTACTCATCATGTTAACCCAACTGTGTTAGACAGCTTTTAATTGCAACAACTGATATGGGTCACTTGGATCACATCCCACCCTGAAAGTGGAAGGGGTTCATTGTGTTGTGCACATATGAAATGCAACCACTTGGTTCTCCAACAAGATACAATACACATGTCAGAAAGGTCCCATCAAAAATAAGAAAGGCACAAAATATCTAAGAATAAACTTAAGGAATGTGCTTAAGTTTATTAAACTTATTAAGCAAGTGAAAAGCACTACCAAATTCTAGTAAGGGACACAGATCAATAAATGGAGTAATTCTTTGGTTTTTAGACAGGAAAACTCCATATTAAAATGAATGCAATTTTCCCTAAATTAGTCTATTAATGTAATGCAATACCAATCAAAAGCCACTGTTTGTTCATTGGTTTAATTGAAAAACCAAATCCAAATTCTTGGGACAAAAATGTGAGAAATTCTTAGAAATTTTTGAAAAAGATTAAGGAGGAGAGGTGAATAGGGGCAAAAGAGAAGAGGAGAAGGAGGGCCTAATCCCATCAAATTATAAAACCAAATAACAGTGATTGAAGCAGAATAGTGCTATCACAGAAACAGAGAAACCAACCAGATAGGAATCAGAATGGCAGGCAGCATCTCATAATCATGGGGAAAAGATGAATTAATCAATAAATAGTATTAGAACTACCAAGTAAATCTTTTGTTCACAGTTGAAATTCATTTTGGTGTAAAGAATGTAGGAATCCGGGCTTCCCTGGTGGCGCAGTGGTTGAGAGTCCGCCTGCCGATGCAGGGGACACAGGTTCGTGCCCTGGTCCAGGAAGATCCCATATGCCACAGAGCGGCTGGGCCCGTGAGCCATGGCCACTGAGCCTGCGCATCCGGAGCCTGTGCTCCGCAACGGGAGAGGCCACAACAGTGAGAGGCCCGCGTACCACAAAAAAAAAAAAAAAAAAAAAAAATGTAGGAATCCATCTTTAGTTTTTTCCAAACACCTACATGTAAAAATAACACATTAATAGTCTAGAAAATAGGGTTGAATATTTTTATAAACTTGAAATGGGAACAAGCTTTAAGTATTTATGCTAGTATCAATGCATGACCATAAACATTTTAAAATAAAGTGGCAGCCACCCCATAATTCCTTTAGAACTTTTATGCCCTAATGAACATGTATGTCTTAAACATGTAAGTAGCAAACTATACTCACTCTTCTGGAAGCTGCTTTTTTATATTCAATACATGGATTTTTTTTCCCTAAGTCAATTCAAAACAATCTAGTGGTCCATTAAATTGATCTGGCATATTTTAACCAATTCCATGCTGATGGCCATTTGTTAATTTTTAGCTCTCTAAATAATGTTACAATTAAAACCCTCAATATATCCTTGTTCTAGTGTTTCCTTAGAACACACTTGCTAAAATTCAAATTTCTGAGGGAACTCCCTGGCGGTCCAGTGGTTAGGATTCCATGCTTTCACTGCCAAGGGCAAGAGTTCGATCCCTAGTCAGGGAACTATGATCCTGCAAGCCAAAAATTAAAAACCAAAAACATTTTCAAATTTCTGGGTCAAAGGACATTAAAACTTGCAGATTTTCACTTATGAATTTGGTTATCTATATTTACGAGATTTTAATGCTTATGGAGTCAAATTGGTATATTTTTATTGCTTCTGAGTTTCCTATCATGCTTTAAAATGTCTTATCAATATGAGATTATAAAAATGGTCTTGTGTTTTTTTTTAACAGCTTAAGCTATGATTCACATTACCATAATTCATCCTCTTAAAAGTCTACAATTCAGTGGGTTTTTATATATTCAGAGTTGTACAACCATTACCATTATGTAATTCCAGAACATCTGCATCACTCCACAAAAAAACTTTTTATGTATTAGCAGTTACTCCTTATTCCCCCCCACCCCCTGGCAACCATTAATCTACTTTTTATCTCTATGTATTTGCCTACTCTGAACATTTCAAAACGATAGAATCATATGGTATGTAGCCTTTTGTGTCTGACTTCTTTCACTTAGCATGTTTTCAAGGTTCACCCTAACTGAAATATATCAGTACTTCATTCCTTTTTATGGCAGAATAATATTCCATTGTATAGATATACCAAAATTTTATTCATCTATTCATCAGTTGATGGATATTTAAGTTTTTTCCACTTTTTGGCTACTATGAATAATGATGCTATGAATATTTGTGTACAAGTTTTTGTTTATCTGTATTTGTTTCTAATTAGTTAACTTTTCAATCCACCTGGAACATGTTGTGATACAGGAATCTATTTCTTTTCCTTCCAAAACAGCTAATCTGAGTACAGAATCCTAGACTTTCCTACCCTCCCTGAAAATTTTTAAAGTTGTCTTGTACAAACATAACACTACTGTTGTTGCAAAGCATTCAACTTGGTTTTGAAGGGAGTAACTTTCTGAACAAATACTGCATCAGTTTATGCAATATTTGATAAAAATATGAAACACAAAAGTAAATTTTGATAAGTACAATGGGCTCTTAATAAATATATAAATACAAAATGAGCATAATGTGCAGTTATATTAGAGAAGAGCCAGCATTCAGGACACCACAGAATATTGGCTAACACTACAAAGTCAATTAAGGGAGCATATACCATGCTGATTGTCCTATACTGATTCCTATTCTGATTGCTCTGTTAATCCTGATTACTCGAGTTTAGTTCAATTTGTCTCTTCCATTGTGTTGGCTTTCTCCAGATGTTTGGTGATAGATTACAGGCTCATCTCTACTTGAATAACTTGCGGGTGGAGGGAAGGCTGTGATGGGCAGTAGCTTTTGCTCTGCCTTGAACTATTTTCAATGTGCAGATGCTAAGAACCCCGAAAACAGTTCTTCTGGAAAGGGTTGTTCTTCATTCTTGCCAGGCATTATAAGTAATGGGGCAGGAGTAGAGGGGAATGTCCTGCCTCTCCACACCAATCTCCTATTCTTAGAATTTCAGTGCTATATGTCAATTATATCTCAATAAAATTGGGGTGGGGGGAGAAATTTCAGCTTGATAGCAGATATCCTCCTTGCTGATATATGGCACAGGCAGGGAGAGATGCTTTTGTGGAGATTTTCCAACTACTCGGTCTTTTACCATGGGTCTCCCCTTTCCTCTCCACCTCCACCATCTCCAGAAATGGTACACCCTCAGTGTTGCACCATTTTCCTGCACTAATCTTCCTTCTGTCACTGGGGCTCCCCTCTGGATCTTCCCTCTACTTTATGCCTTGTTAGTTTCTCAGTTTTTGATCTACCAAAACTCTCTTTGTTTTTGAGTACAGAGATACATATGTTTTAAATATATTTTTCATAATTTCTGTGGGTTTGGTAGGAGGAAGAGATTCCATGGGCTTACTTCATCCTCTTAAATCTACTATTGGTTTCTGACAGATATTCTTTACTAAGTGAAGGAAGTTTTCTTTATTCCTAGTTTTCAAAGAGATTTAAACACAAAGGAAGCTAAGCTTTATTATCAGGCTTTCAGTACTTGCTGAGATACCATGATTTTTCTCTTTTAGCCTATTAAAATAACTACATTACAGATCACTAAATGTGAATTCTGTAAAAAATTCTTGTCTTCACGTTATGCTACAGTTTTACTATAGGACATAGTCAATTTATCAACTTTTTTGGAAGTGCTACATATATATTTGTAAGTTAATTGGTATTTGTGGGTGAATGCTAACTTTTTCAGATTTATGAATCATGGTTCTGCTAACCTCATAGTAGGGAAATTTGTCTTCATTCTAGGACAGCATAAACAACAGAATTTTTTTTTAAAAGATTTTCTAGGACTCTGTACTTTGTCATTTTGTGGGGAAAAGTTTTTTATACATACTTAATGGTTGAAAAAGCAAAGTGTTCAGAATTGTTTAAACCACCAAGAAGTAACTCTCCGAACTCCCCAGAAAAAGCCATTTATAACAATTTGATATATCTGTCCAGATATGTCCTATACAAATGCATGTGCACACATATATACATGTACTCATTATGTGCACATGTATCTTTTAACAAAACGGCCTCCTTCTGTTTTGCAACTTGCTTTTTTCACTTTTCGAATTTATTCTTTAATAGCTTCATAGTATACTGCCTGGATATGCTGTAATTTATAGGTCCATAAAAACACTTGCTTTGGTTGTCCTCAGTGTTTTACTACCAAGACAATACTATAAGTAATGTCCCTGTACAAATATATTTGTACTCTTTTATATCTTGGCTAAATTGCAAGAAGGGGAATGGGTCAAAGACTGATACTGCCATATTATCTTCCAGAAGTGTTTATACCAAATGACTTCATGGGGTAGATTTTGACAAGAAGACTTTAAAGCACTATGTAAAAACTTGAAGCCATAAAGTAAAGACAAATAAAATTTACTATGTAAGAACTGAAATTTTCTGTTAAGCAAAAATGTCATACACAAAGTCAGGGTACTGAGGGCTTTTACCAAAATTTAATTTAACATCTTTAAAACTAGGCCAGGGGAGGCAGGCTCGGACGGCCCAAGGAGCTGCAGCCGCCCTTCGAGCCCTCCTTGCCGACACTATGCTCCAGTTCCTGCTTGGATTTACTCTTGGCAATGTGGTGGGAATGTATCTGGCTCAGAACTACGACATACTTGAAGAAATTAAAAAGGACGTGGACGCCAAGAAGAAACCCCCTAGTTCATGAGGCCGACTCTAGCACTGCCTCCTGGATAAACTGATTCTACTGTTCTTGAGGGCCTCCTTTACCATCTGAACCAAAAGCTTTTGTTTTCATCTCCAGCCTCAGCAATTTTCTTCTTTGCTAGACCCTGCATTGCCTTACAGCACAAATGGGGCCACAAGTTAAGAACAACCCTTACTTTTCCAACATCCTCACTCCTTCCCTTCCTCCTTCCAGCCACTTGGGAGGTCCTGAGAATGGAATTATGGTGCTAGATTAGTAAACATGACCTTTAACTAGTAGTTTCTCCCTTATTCTTTGGGATTTCTACTACCATTTTTTTTCCGAAAGAAAAAATGATGAGTTTTGTATAGCTGATGAGATATAAATAATGCTGATTTCACAGTCTAGCAATTATACTGGGTGTTTAAACCTTTGGTACTAAATTATGTTGTTTCAAAGTAGTAACTAAAATGAAAATCTAGAAGCCAGTTTCTGGTGAATTATCCACTAATTTTATATTGTTGTCAGGAAGCTCCATAGTTGCTAATTTAACAAATAAATCAATTTGCTATTCATTAACCAAGAAACTCTGTTCTGAGAACTCTATCAGGAACTCAGGAATTTAAAAGTATTTAAAGTAATGGCCTTCGTCCTCAGTAGAATTCATAGTCTCGTATGCATGTTTTTCTTAATGGTGCATTTGATCTCGCTCTATTCTCTCATAAGAATCATACTTATTTTACTATAGGCACATTTTACATTACATGGCATATAAATGAGAAGTTGTCTATAAAGGAAATTTTATGCCTTTTTACATTTAAAAAAATGTATTTACATTATAACTTTATAGTGGTTCTCATTAAAAAAAAAACTAAAATGATGCTAAGGACCTTGAGGGTAGGAATCAGTGTATCCTGTTTGTTGCCACATTCTTAGAGCCAACAATGGTACATAGGAGCTTCTCATATATTAAATAAAATATAAACAATCCAATAGAGAAAAAGGCAAAGTAAAATTATATACAAACAAAAAATGGCAAAGACAGAAAAAGATGTTCAAACTTTAAATTTAAAAAGGCAAATTAAAACAAAGAACTCTCCTGTGATCTATGAGACTAGCAAACTTTAGCAAATGCAAACGGGTTCAACTTTTTAGAGGGCAATTTAACAATTCTCTTAAAATTTTAAGTGTGATTATCCTTCCACCATCATTTCTACTACTAGGAATTTAACTTACAAAAACAACCATAGTAGTATAAAGAAGTAATTCCACTGCACCATTGTTTATAGAGGGAAACAACTAAAAGCAACACAAGTGTCCATCAATCAAAAACTTACTAAACTATGGAACATCTATATAATACAGCAATATAAAAGAATGTCTAACTGCTTAAAGGGAAATCCATGTGGGGAAGGACCAAATAGGACTCTCCTAGAAAGGATAATGGACAGCAGGTGTGGGCCAGAGATTGAGGGAGAATAAAGGAAGAGTGCATACCAGAAAGGCAGATTGACAGCTGTTCATCATCCACTGGAGAGGCTTTTTGACTGTTCTTCCCACCTCCCACTTGATTTTCTAGTTTGAGTCCACTGCACGTCAGAGGAGCCTCCAGTGGACTTTTACAGTAAGGGTGGTCCAGCAACTTAGAACTAAGAATGTTCTGCTTGAAAGATCCATCCTCATCCATCTGGCATGAACTCTCATTCTGAACAGTCTCTTCGGACACAGGCCCATCTACACTACTCACAGATTGATCTGCCCCAGACACTGACAGTTTTACTCTGTCATCATTGACAGTACTTGTCTGATTTTCCTGACCCAGAGCCATAACTTCTCCCTCGGTTTCCGAGATAAACATGTTATTAGAATGATGTTCTGGTAAGGGGATGTCATGAATCAGCTCTGTACACTCCCACTTAGGAGAGGAACAGGGTGACTGGTCCCAGATGTATGTGCCACTGCCATTCTGTTGGTCAGGGAATGCTTCATCTAAACTAAGCTCCTTGCCCAAGACAGGGCTTCCTTTAGTGTGGCCATCAGGCACATGAGAGTTCTTTCCCTTCACCACAGCATTGCTGTCCATATCTGGAAGGTATGGTTGATGCCGACAAGAAGGGTCTTTAGGTTCTGGGGAAGGGAATAAGCTGCAACTGCCACCCTCACTGTTCTCCCTAAGGGTCTCTTGATGGTCCCCAGTGACCTGCACCCAGCTTCGCTGGGCTTTTTTTAGCTTGCAAACTTTGCTTTTTGTTCTGAAGTGCTGGGATCTGAGAATCCTGTACCGAAATCTAATCATGGATAATTTCTCATACATCATATGAGGAGATACTTTTATTCTTCTATGTTGATTAAGTTGGAACTTTCTTGGAATCAGGGGTCCCCCATTCCTGTGGTGCTCCAGCCCTCGGCAGCAGCCATAACAAAAGCGCTTTCTCTTATGGTTGCTCAAGGTGACCACAATTGTGCCACTCTCACCTGGACTCTGGCTCTCCCCATTGAACTTCATAGGAGGATCAGAAGCTTGTGGCTCCGTCCTAGGTCTGTGACCACTGGCCTGACTTAAAACACTATTTGCTGGTATGTCAGTGGCTGCCTTCAAGAGACTTTTCTCTCCAGAGTATTCATGATCAGAGTTCTTTGCTGATGATAGCAACTTCTCTGCTTGGAGTTTCAGGAAGGTCCTTGAGGAGGAAATGAAGTGTTTAGTGTCCTTTCCTTTCACTTTAGAGGACAAACTACTAAGATTCTGAACAGCCACATTGGACTTTGCCTTAGCAAAAAGGGGTTCATCCTGGATCCACGTTTTCTGGAATTGAAGGGCCTTCTTTCTGCACTGGAAATGCCTTAAATGCCTGCTCCAAGTAACTGGCCTTCCCAACTTGGCTTTCAGAATGCACAACTGTTGGTGAAAGTAGAACTTCTTAAAGCCTCCAAACCCAGTATTCCATTTCTCAGAAAAGGCTAAGTGGATTCCTTTCCTCCATAGAATTTTCCTCTGTTTTTTCATTTTTCTGATGCATAATGAGATCTGAATGCAGCTGTAAAGAAGAGAAAGAAAATTTACATTTCTACCCTAAAAATAAGGTCATAAAGATACATTCACTGGCTTCCCTGGTGGCACAGTGGTTGAGAGTCCGCCTGCCAATGCAGGGGACACGGGTTCGTGCCCCGGTCCGGGAAGATCCCACATGCCGCGGAGCGGCTGGGCCCGTGAGCCATGGCCGCTGAGCCTGCGCGTCCGGAGCCTGTGCTCCGTTAACGGGAGAGGCCACAACAGTGAGAGGCCCACATACTGCAAAAAAAAAAAAAAAAAAAAAAAGATATATTCACAGCAATATACATTAGAAAATTGAAAAAAGCATATGAAGTTCAATTTATACTATCAGACATAATGAAATCCTACCTGATCAAGGTTTTCCCCACAATGAAAATGAGGGATAAGGGAAGACATGAGTGCTCCAACATGACCCCATTTTGCTGTACCTGCCTCTGATAGAAACAAGTTTCAAGAATCATTTCCCAATATGCAGCCAGTTTCTGATGAAGCAGAAAGGGCAGGGAGTCAGGAGAGAATTTCTAAGTGTTGACCTTGTTTCTCATTAGCTAAGTGACTTTAAGCAAGTCACCCAAATTCTGTGTTCTCATTTGTAAAATGAAGGACAGAGAAGGGAGAGGGGACCAGACACCATTTAAGACTGAGTTCACATCAAAACAATTTGTTCCATACAACAAATTTTCTTTTAAATATTTTTTTTTGATGTAGACCATATTTAAAGTCTTTATTGAATTTGTTACAATATTGCTTCTGTTTCATGTTTTGGTTTTTTGGCCACAAGGCATGTGGGATCTCAGCTTCCTGACCAGGGATAGAACCCACACCCCCTGCATTGGAAGGTGAAGTCTTAACCACTGGACTGCCAGGGAAGTCCCATACAACAAATTTCAGAAAGGAAAGGCAGGGACTTTTATTCTGTACAGTCATCCACAGGCGGACAGTCAATATATGCATGCAATATCAGTACCTCAAGAGGGAGACCGACCAGCCTCCTCTTTGTCAGTCAGTCAAAGACTTTCTGAGTGACTATGAGGAGACAGGACTCTATCAGGTGCTCTCAACCAGTTATGGTTCTGGCTCTCAAGTAAGTATAAGAAAAAAGAACCAACACAAGTGTGTGTGTGTGTGTGTGTGTGAGAACTTTAGGAACACACTTACAGGAAAGGGTAGATGAAAATGATAGTCAAAACCAAACATGGTTTGGGACTTCCCTGGTTGTCCAGTGGTTAAGACTGCACTCCCAATGCAGTGGGACTGGGTTCATTCCCTGGTAAAGGAACTAGATCCCACATGCTGCAACTAAGAGCCCGCATGCCACAACTGGAGATCCCGCATGCCACAACAAAGATCCTGCGTGCTGCAACTAAGACCCAGCACAGCCAAATAAATAAATATTAAAAACAAACAAACATGATTTCCCCTCAGACTTAATAAGATCTAACATTACTGAAGGCTCTTTAGCCTAGAAAGAAAGGCACCAGCCACTGCAGGTGGAACAGAAGAATCAAAAACCAATATCCTAATTTCAGCCTACTAATAACTTACTAGGAAAAGCTGTATTACCTTTCTGTGCATCAGTTTTCTCTGGGGGCGGGGCAGGGGGGAGTAGAGGACTGAACACATGTTTACTTCTGCTTCCTTTCCAAATCCCATTCAGATGACAGAAATGCAGTTTTTAAAAAAGCAAAACCTCTCAGGGACAATGACAACAAAAAAGGAGACGAGCAATAAAACTGCTGAAAGAAGAAAGCAGATGAATGAGTGATAACAGACTTAGCCAGCCAAAAGAGCTGAAATCTAAGCCAGCAGTGGGGGAAGCCAAGCAGCAAGTTACAGGACCTCAGAAAGGCTCAGGAACCAAGAGCAACAATACCTATGAAGGTCAGGGAATGGAAGACAGCTGAAAAAGGAAGGACTGGTTGCGAGTCTGAATAAGAAGCAATTAGACTCTAAGATCCCTTCTCCTACCATGGCAGATGATCAAAGTTTCACTTACTCAAGGGAATGAACTAGAACAGTCAGGCACATCATGTACAACTGAGGGCAGGGGTACAAACAGGAGGATAAACCAGTTTACATAGGGAATTTCTCCCCAACCTCTTTCCTCACTCAGCTCCCAGAAAAGTTTATACCCCAAAGGAGGAGATCAGTTCTGGGGGTGGGCAGGGGGTTGGGTAGGGATAGATCATTCAAAAAGACAAACAGATACTGATATTTGGGGATGCCACAACTACACAGGCCCAAACAATTACCCCAAAGTTTAAGAAGCAATGAAACCCCCAAATCCCTCCCCAACTCCGCATAGCAGGTAACTGTCCCTCCCCGACCCAAGATTAGAAGTTTCTCCTTCAGAAAGGAAGTTCTGCAGACAAGGGGATCCCAGGAACAGTTTGAAGATGGAATTATATATTGAATATAAGACCCCACAACACTTTCCCACTCATCTCCCAAAACGCTGTCAGTCTGTCTTTCCCGTCCAAGCAGGAGATTGGAAGATTCTTCTTCAGAGAAACTGATTATTCCACAAGAATATAAGTACAGGTATGCCCCAGCATGGCCCACAGTGCACCCCACAAGTGACAAGTCCCACCACAAGCTCAGAACCTCCAACCAGCTTCTTAGTGGTCAAAAGACAGCATAACTAAGAATCACCACACTTCCAGGGATAAAAAGTAGACAAAAACAAACAGATAAAAGCAAAAGCATATTTAGAGAAGTCAACTTAAAAAACCTAAGAAGGGGAGAGAAGGGAAGTTATTGTTTAATGTGAAGAGCTTCAGTTTAGGAAAATTAAAATGGGTCTCAGGATGGATGGTGGTGATGGTTGCACAGCAATATGAATGTATTCAATGCCACTGAACTGTATACCTAAAAATGATTTAAATGGTAAATTTTATGTTATGTATATTTTACAATTTTTTTTAAAAAAGAAGAAAAAAAACCCCAACGCTATCCTCAAAGAAGAAAATATTACATCCACTGGGGAAAAAAAGAATGGGATTTTTTTTTTAAAGGAACAGTTAAAAAAATAAAGGAGCTTAGGACACTTAAAATGGCAAAAATGAAAAACTCAATAGAAAGTAAAGGGCTAATATTACTAATATTTAATATCTTAAATTGAGGGATAAATGAAAAGGCTGATGGAAAAATGGGAAAAAGACATAATGAAACAATTCACAAATAAATATTTTTAAATGGCCCTTAAACATAAGTAAAGATGTTCAACTTCATGCATTAAAAAATGTCAAGGGGGCTTGGGAGATAGGCAAAATGGGTGAAAGGAGTCAAAGGTACAAACCTCCATAAATAAACATATAAACAAGTCATTCATGACGATGTACTGTACAGCATGGTGACTATAGTTAATAATACTGTATTGCATATTTGAAAGCCGCTAAAAGTAAAGCCCTCATCGCAAGAAAAAAAATTTGGGGGGTGGGGAGCTATGTATGGTGATGGATTTAACTAGACTTATTGTAATTATTTTGCAATGTATACAAATGTTAAACCATTATGTTGTACACCTGAAACTAATATATGTCAATTATACCTCAAAAAAATTTGGCAAAAGTTATTGCAACATGTTTTGTTGGTGGGAGAAAAAAGACTTTCATACTTTGCTGGTTGGGAATACAAACTGATAAAATCATTTTGGAGGGGAATTTGGTAATATCTAACAAAACCATACAAGTATTCACCTTTTAATCCAACAACTCCACTTTTAGGAATTTACCCTGAAGATACATCTCCAATAATAATGAAAATACATAGTACATGGTTATTCACTGCAACACTGTCTGTAATTGCAAAATACTGGAAACAACCTAAATGCCCATACATAGGGCAGTGGTTGCATAAACTATGGTTCATCTGCACAATGAATGAAGCTGTAACAGAATAAGGATAAGGTCTATGAACTAACGTGGAGTAATTTCCGGTTTAAATGAAAAAAGCAGAGTTCAAATGAGTATCAATGGTAAACCACTGCAATAGTTTAGCCAATGTACAGTTAGGGAGAACAGTCCACACAAGATCACCCTCACTTCTGACAACAACTGAAAGTTCAGGGAGTTTCCAAAACTACCCTCAGGTCTGATACTTTGTCAGAAGGACTCACAGAACTCACTAAAAACTGTTAATAGTTATGGCTTATTACAGCTGAAGAATGTGGATTAAAATCATCCAAGTGAAGAACTACATAGTGCAGAGTCCAGGGGAAGTAACAAATGAGGCGCTTCCAGTTGTCCTCTCCCCATGGAGTAGAGACAGCATTACTTTCCCAGCACCAGTGTGTGACAAAGTGTGACAAGAATTGCCAGCCAGTGAAGCTCACCTAAGCCTTGATGTCCAGAGTTTTTATGGGGGTTCATAGGCATAACTGATTGCCCACACGACTGAGCTCAGTCTTCAACCCCTCTGGAGATCGACTGATATCAAAGTCATTACCCTAAATCACACTGTTGGTTTTTCTGGCGTGGCCAATCCCCATCCTATATCATACTGTTAGATTATCAGTGACCCAAGCCCCCAGGCAAATAAAGACACTCCAATCAGACATAACATTCCAAGGGTTTAGAGATTACCTCCTTAAAGCCAAGGATAAAGGCTTTCTTTTTGTGCAAGGTTAATTCTTTACTATATTATATATAGCCACCTTTCATAAAAGAAAAAATAAGAAAATATACATGTATCTGCCCTTTTGTGCCTCCCAAATAAATTAATTAATAATATAAAAATCAGGGCTTCCCTGGTGGCGCAGTGGTTAAGAATCCGCCTGCCAACGCAGGGGACACGGGTTCAAGGCCTGGTCTGGGAAGATCCCACATGCCGCGGAGCAACTAAGCCCGCGAGCCACAACTACTGAGCCCGCGTGCCACAACTACTGAAGCCCACACGCCTAGAGCCCGGGCTCTGCAACAAGAGAAGCCACTGCAATAAGAAGCCCGCACACCACGACAAAGAGTAGCCCCTGCTCGCTGCAAC